GGTGTTCTATAGGCTATTCTCCTACATCCCTGTCTTCCTTTATCTCAAATTATTCATGATTTTCCCTATACAAATCCTTATCTGTAAAATATTCTATAAGGTACTCTATGAGGTATTCTACAGGGCATCTACAAGGTATTCTATGTGGTATTCTATAGGCTTAATTAAGGTATACAGAGGTACAGTCCGCTATCAAGATGAATATGGTAAAGCGCAAGATTTCAAGTCTTTGCTGTTTACCTCTGCAGAATTTACGTGGAATTTAATACCTCAGGCGAGAGCAGAAACGAAAAAAAGAGAAAACACCAAAAACACACAAACGCAATCACAAAAAACCAAACGATGAAAAAACACAAAAAAAAAAAAACGAGAAAACAAACATCTGACTACATAATTTGAGACATGACGAGATATGTGGTTAGTTTTTTTTTGCTTTTTGTTTCTGATCTCGCCTGAGGTATCAAATTCCACTTAAATTCTCCAAAGGTAAACAGCAAATACTTCAAATCTTCCACTTTACCTTTTATATATATGTATATATACTACCCTGTGGCCTGTAGAAGACATTCCAGAATACCCTCTACAAAATCACCTATATATACCTTATAGAATACCGTGTATAATACCTTCTGGAATACTTCATAGAATAGCCTGACATCTATCAGGAAAGGCGTGGGTACATGGGGGGTACCGTATATATATATATATATTTGATACATCTCTAGATGTTTGTCTTTGTTTGTTCTCTCTCTCTCTCGCTGCTCGCGCTCTTCTGTACGTCGCTTTCGCCGCTTTCGCTTCCCTGGGGCCACTTCTTGCCCTGCTGGGTGTCGCTGAGGTTTCGGCCCCGTGGCCGTGCTCCGGTCCCGCGCCTCGTCCCAGAGGCCCAGCACCGAGTCCTTCAAACCTCAAAGGACAAAGATCAAAACAACAACTGCAACTTCTGACTTACAGCAACACCACAACAACACTGTGACAATTACACACACCTTCTGACAATTACAGCTACTTGAGAAGATCATTTAAGCCATGCTTTCTGCCTTGCCTCCCGTCTCGTGGACCACTGGCACAGTGCCATACGCCTGAGCGTACCTCAGATGCAGGCCATCGCTGCAGACTGCTGCAGACTGCCTTTTCTCCTCCCACTGCGTCACACTACCATGTTTCATGTTGGCAGACAATGTGAGGAGGCTCCACATGAGAGCTTGGCTGCTATGTGAAGACTTTCTGCGCGAGGGCTTGATTTCCAGCCAAATTTGTGAACGGTCTGCGCGAATGCTGTTTGTGAGTTCCATGGAGCCAGCCAAGATGCGAGGTGCTTCACATGACCGCCCCATTTCATGTAAAAACGTGAAAGGGCTCTATGCGAGGACACTTTCTCTCCCAAGCCTTACTCTCAAAACAAGTGCAAGATTTGGTCTCTCCGGGTTGAACGAGAGCGGTAAGCATGGAAACATATGAATAAGAATTCCATTGATTGTAACTGCTGGGCGGCGAGTCATAGTGAGGGCAAGAATAGCCAGACCCCTATCTTGCAATAGCAAGAAGTAAGAATGCCAGCAGTGGTAGCAAGATCCACACAAACAGTGTTGATAAATCCAAGATGGACGAGAATAAGGGCATGGCATGCCCCTAGCTTCTTGTAGGTCTTGGCAGAATTTATTCAGCATTGTGCTTTTACAAATCGCGTGAAGTTGGGGAGTGGCAACCACCCCAACCCCCACCCTCCCACTCACCTCCCTCAAACATGGCAAATAGCGAGCGAACGGCTCTGGCTGAGTGTTAATACTAGGACCCAAGCATTCCGTGCACAATTTGCTTGAAACGAAAGAGGAAGGAAGCGGGGCCGTAGGGTGTTTTCCTCGCTGGCTCACCTGTTGGCCAAAACAGAGAACGTAACATAATGCTGAAAGTACACGATGCCACGCTTTTGTTTGACTTGCTTCGGCCAGGCCACATCTGCGGAAGCCCACAGGGCTCGTACTGCGAGGGCATCAGCAAGAAGTCGCAGCCCGCCATCATGCGGTGCTCCACCTTCGGGTCGAAGCCCACGTAGCCTCAAATGAGATGCGCTAGAAAAGTCCTACTTAAGCTCCTGCTCAGAGAGGGATCTCCTACGGCCGTTTTCTCGACGAGGAGCCGCACACACGGCCTCTGTTGGAGTTCTCGGCGTGCGAGAGCTGCTGGGCGTACATGTCGTCACCCTTGCCCATGAGGATGACCTGAACTCGGCCCAGAACGCCGCTTTGTTCGTAGGTCAAGAGCCACGGGATAACTTGCGTGATCAAATGCACACCCTTCTGGTAGCAGAGACGGCCGCAGAAGCCCAGGAGGGCAGCACCTGGATCCTCGTGGAGTCCAAGGCTGCGCTGCAGCTCACGCTTGCATTCTGCCTTGCCCTCCAACACATCTGAAATCCCGTAATTCCGGAAGATATGGGGATCTGTTCTGGGATCCCACTCGTCTGCGATCCCGTTCAAGATTCCTGCCATGCGCATCTGTCGGCCCTTCTCAGTCAAAATCTCGTGCAAGCCCTGGCCACCCTCTGGGCTTTGGATCTCGGTCGAGTAATTCGGACTCACTGTCAAGACCCGGTCTGAAGCCAAGATAGCAGCCGACATCAGATTCATGCAATCCACCCCCAGGTTCAAGTCCTGCAGGGGTTCACACAAAGAGGTTCGCAATTTTTGGGGCACATTTTCAGAGAAATGCTTTCTGGCAGTCCTCACCCTGCAGAAGGTCTATGGCCTCTGCAGGAAGAATTGGCACAGCAACTTCTCAGAAAATGTTTCTTTCAAAGCTTTCAGCTTGCGGGTGCCTCTGGCGGCAGACCCAAGTAGCTGTCCAGCGGGAACTTGCTGAGACGGTACTTGCCCTGGTGAGATTCGCAAGTATCCATGGACAATTTCCTATCATCCAAAGTCTCTCCTATCATTTGCCGGCTCCAAGGATCCTGCTTTACCAAAGGATCCCTTCTAAACGCCGCATGCCGCTTAGAGCCCTTAGATCTGGCTCACTTCCACGCTGGAAAGGCTTGAACAAATCACAAGGCAAATCTGCTCAAAAGGCTTGAACGCGGGCTCGTCTTCCGCTGCGCTGCTGCGCTGCACTCTTCTCACCCGAGACTCTCGCTTTGTTCGAAGTCGCGGGTGAGGACCAGCACAGATTAGAAAAATGATTTCTGTCTGCCGTGCATCTACATATTTCACAAGGCCAGGTGGCATTAGCTGCAATTCATGTCCTTTATCACCTCTCCATGTATATCATGTCTGCCCTTGCATGGCCCACAGGGTCATCGGATCGCTCTGTGCAAACACAACTCTGGCGCTCGGGGGCGGAACGTTAAACAGAGACACCTAAACTGATGCTCCTCTGATACTCTAATTGGGCCAGCATCAGCATGAGAATGGGGTGACAGATGCCTCCCCTCGGCTCAGCGGAGCATCGCATCGAAGGGTCCAAGGAGAGCCAAACCAAAAAAAACACATTTGCAGAACATCTTTAGCAAAACGTCTTTTGCCACACCGGCTCTCCGTTTCCGAGTCGAAGGAATCAAAGAGAGATGCGGGCCGGGGCCCGGAATGGGTTTTGAATGCTCTCCCCGGTTCCAGTAAAGGGCGCCAGAGTTGCAAGCCGCTGCATCGAATCGTAAATGAGCCGCTGCCACTCGGAGGACACGCCTCCTACGACTACCCGGTAAGGTACTCCCCCTGTGGCGTTTGGCCAGATGTGCAGATGTGGGCTTCAGGTTGAGGAGGGAGATAGTTTCGATGCGGGCGTCTATGGCAAGCTACCAGCAGCCCGGCGGCTACCAGGGTTCTACGTGTAAGCTGTCAGATGGTTATGCTCTAGCTTTAGCCGCCGGCCCCTTTCGGGTCGGCGCGCGTGAAGCTGTGTTCATACTTCGGCTCCGCATCCACCACCGCCTCTCATCACCCTCCACACTGCACCGCGCGCCGCCCATCCGCTTCAACGCTTCACAGCCTGGTATTTTACGCGAGCCTAACCCTCATTACCCCTCACACCACCCACTGCCCGCTGCCGAATAGTATGGATGTTAGTAGGGATGCTTAGGTACTGACAAGGAGGCCCCGGCGCCCCACCACCCTCACACCCCCCACTGCACCCACCGCCCGCCGCTCATCACTTAGACTTAAACGCTGCATCTGATGGATTTTGGCAGGGAAGCAGAGGTATGTACTGCAAGCCCAAGCAAGCTCGCTTCTTTTTCAGAAAAAGCGGCCATACACACACACACACACACACACCCGCGCGCGCACACACACACACACACACACCCACACCCACACACACACCCACACCCACACACACACACACACACACACACACACACACACCAACTGTCCCAGCCTCCCAAGGGCCCCCCCATGCCCTCCAATTGTCAAAGAACATACTGCGCCTGCGCCCTGAACCCCCATAAAAAAAATCAGAAGGCTGACAGCCTCAGCCCTTCACAGCCCAGCAGCCCTTTATTTGCCTCCCCGACCACCTAGCCCTTTTCCCGCCACCGCTCCGTAGGCATCAACTCCCCTCCACCCCCATCCGTCCGCGCTGTGTTTTTTGAGACCCCCACCCTCTCCCTCCGCTTCCCTAGACTGATCCTTTCCAGACCCCCCCCCCATCCGCGGGCCGATTGCCGGCGTTTTGCTCTAGCCCCTCCTTCAGGCCCCCACCTTACCCCTCTCAGTCTAGGGTGAGTATGGCCACGTTGAAGGGTTTTTGGTTCTAGTATCTTTCCAAGAGAGCTCATCTCAGGGACATGGGCAAACCGTTTAGCCTTTTTGTGTGCTGCCTCCACCCAGTAAAAGCCTAAAACAAGGCAATGGTTACTAACAGCTGAATACGTTCACATTATATTTGTTTTCCAGCTGTGACTGAGTGAGGGCGGTATCATGATTCCCGAAGATTCTTTTGACCTACTTCATCTGCAAGAAAACGGCCTCGCTACATGTCAGGAATCGCACCCAACATAGGTAATTGTTATCCACACCTGGTACGGGTGGCGGCGTCATGAGACATTGATAATCGATACATTAGTTTGGGGCCTCCCCTCCCCTAGCTCGCAATGACATGAGAGTCAAGCTGACAGCGGTTGACACCTGAAGATTGAGGGACGCATACACCCAAAACGTGACGGGCTCATACACATATACAAGTGCCCCGCTACACGTCATCAATCGCGCCAAAAATGATAGGTAAGGATTATCCACACCTGGTACGGGTGTCGGGGTCATTAGACACTGCTAATCGGGGCCCCCCGTCCCCTACCTCGCAATGACATGAGAACGGTTGACACCTGGAGACCGAAGACCGGCAGAAGTCGTCGCGTCAACCCTCGCCTCCCTGTGTAATGGAGGCTCAGGCTTTGTCGTCTGGCCCTCGCTCCCGAAGGCTCAGGCCTTGTCGTCAGCCGCCAGAGCTCGCCTGTTGTTTGCTGTGGGGGATCAATATTCGTTGCCGGCGCCGTGCTGTTTGAGAGGTTGCCTCTAAACCTCCCTCCCAACCTCCCCTACTTATAGTATCTAGAGGGCACCCCTGGGCGTCCCCCGAGCCTCCCTAGCGTCCCCGCTCACATACGCCATACACCGCAGCAACTGCACCGCGCCAGTACTCCACAGCGCCTACACCGCCACATACAGCACAGCACCTACACCGTACCACGAACACCAGAGAACCTACACCTACACCGCCTCTATTTTGTTCGTAGCGCTGAACGACCGCAGAGCGGGCATTGCCGGCGCGAGAGGTTGGTCTTGGCAATAAGGGCTGACGCCGCTGCCGCCAACCCTTAAATCATGAACCCCAAGTCTCAGGGTCTTGGGTTTGTGGGACCTTGCTCTGATTGAATCTTACGTTGTCTTACGCTCCCCGTCTCTGGCGCCTGGTAGCCGATGTTGTGGATAACGAAAATGCAACGGGAGTTCAGGTACGTTCGATTTCGGCGGTACTTGTACAGGTGGTACACTGGCAGCAAGCCCGTCTGCCAGTCGTTAGCCACAAAGAGCACATCCTGACCAAAGGTGGAGCCGCGGAGGCTCAAGATCAGGGGAGCTTCCATGGCGGCCACAGTGAGAAGCGCGTAGCGGAACAAGTTGTCAGGGAACTCCTTGCCATCACGGTCGCAGTAGAGTCCCCCTCTGTGATAGCACTCATGCTCCACGAAGACGTAGTCCGTGCCCTTGCCCTCCCCAAGGTCCTGTGACTGCATCATTGCTTTCATCTGCAAGTGCTTGCGTATGTTTTCATGCGCTGCATCATACAAGTTGACAAGTACTGCGTCCTTTGGAAAGTTCACGGTGGCCCCTTGTCTTTTTAAACATCATAAATCTGGTCCTGGAAGAGGTGGAAGAAGCGCACCTCGTGTTCCCGGCCGTCCAGCCACACCTTGGAGTAGCCGACGTAAACGGCGTCCTTGTAGTCGCCGTAGCGGGGGGAGACGACCATGGTCCGGTGCCCGCGCATCGCGAACTCGTAGCCGTAGCTCCCGGCCACCATGGCCAAGCCACCCGTTTTGCTCCAGGGGTTCACCTCCGAGCTCACCACGACCACCGGAGTCTGCAAGTTCGCGCTCGCGTACTTGGGCCGCTTGTCCTTCAGCTCCGCCTCCAGATGCGACCGCAGCTCCGCCTTCCCCGAAGGGTCCTCAAAAACTACACAGAACATCCACAAACTCCACAAACGACTTCACTTCACTTCACTTCACTTCACTTTCAGCTCGCTTCTTCTAGCCGCAGGTCCTGCAGGAGGGCGTCCAGGGCACTCAGGGAAAAGACGCGCTCCAGCTGATTCTCACAGCCACTTTCCGAGCTCTCTGACACAGCCTTCCAACCAGACAACTAGACACGCGCCATCATCTGCCAACACATCATCCCGAAAACACACATCCCAGCGACTCACAGTGACCAAAATCTTTCTCGCACAGAGAAATCTGACCTTTACTTGCGTCTTGCGTGTCTTCCGCCTTGGTCTTGGGCGTCTGCGTCCCGGAGCTGGGCTCATAGCCCTGAGATTGGCACAGAAGACTTTGTAACTCAATCGGTTAACAGTTTGCGTTCCCTTTGTGCATTCCCTGTGTGCCTCCTTCTTGGCTTCCTGGAAAAAAACAGTGAGAACTACGGTGAGCACAGTGCACAGTGCCAAGCAGGCAAACGCTTCAGCTCAGATCTTGCCTCACAGCTTGCCACAGGCACAGGCAGCTGCAAGGGCGATTGGGCCTAGAAGTGTGGTGTTGAACCGAAGAGGTGCTGTGCTGCAATGCCGAGATTGCAGGAGTCAGCGAAATGCTTTCTAACAGGCCTGCGAGATCTCCAACTTCTCCTTGTCAACGGTCGATGTGCTAAACGCGACGTGCCGCTGCAAGCAGTTCAAGCAATTCATCCCTTTTTCCTCTTTCGTCTCTCTCTCCCTCCATCTCTCTCATCTCTCTCCTGGCGCCAACTCATGTCCCCCTGATTCGTGCAGGGCTCGAGCAGGGAGAAGGATCCCTGGATTCAGTGCCGTGCTATGCCTTGAGATGCTGCGCTTCGGTGAGTGCGTTTCTCCCGCCTTCTTCAACATCACCGGGCCCTAAGATTGCGAGAGCTTTGCCGCGAGGCATTCAGCGAAAGAGGCTCCGGCAACGATAGGCTCCTCCTTCACTGGACTTTCCTCCGAGCCGAATGCAATCCATGCTGAATGCGATGCTGCGTTCTGCAATGCCCCGCCTCTAGGTCTGGAAGCAAGGAGAAGGATCCCTGACGTCAACCCCAGCCAGCATTTAACATTTCAATTCTCGTTGCACCTTTCGCCCCGCTTGCACAAGGGACACGGACTCGGAAGGTTTTGCATCCTGAAAGCATGCACAAGCTGGTGCTGCCAAGCCGCCAAGCTGCCAAGCTACTACATTAACAGACAAACGCACGAGCTAGACAGACCCGGTTTGCCTTGATCGCCGTGCCCTGACCGTCAAGTTACCCCCATGTAAACACATGCACATGCAGACATGATCAAGGGCCTTGTTCCTTGGCTTTCCTTGCTGGAACTTTGAGACCAGGACCTGCGAGGCTGACTGTTGCAACTGTGATGCGAAGCCGAAGCGCATCGAAGCGCATTGCTGCCCGGGCCTTCCTCTCAGTTGCCTGCCACAGGCAGTCAGGCGGAGGGTGTACAAATGTGCAATCTTAGTTCCGATCCTTTGCCCTCCAACATGGAGCAACGCAACATGAAGCGGGAAGCAAGGACAGGCACAATTGCCAGTGAATTTCAATGCGCTGCAGCGCCATGCAGCGTCTTTGGTGGCTTGTAGCAGATCGCTTCATGCTGTGACTGGCTGAGCCCGGCCAAGCCCGGCCTGGCTGCTTTGGCTTTCTGAACGGCTCACCACGGAAAGTTCCTGCCAGACATGCAGACATCCACAGAAACTGTTCCCGTCTGCACGCACAACTCTACGCCTTTTTAGGAGACAGGACAGAAGGAGGTACAGGAGGCCGTTTGAAAGGTGATGGTCGCCTCACCTGTGATACGTGCAGAGGTCTGAAAGCAGGCTTACCACATTGTTGTCCGCTCCCTGCCTCTTTCGCGGACCCATCCGCAGAGGCTTCCGATACCTCTGATACCTGCGAGACCTGTGCATGCATTCTGGGCATTTTGCTGACAGGGTTCCCGACAGGGTGCGTCCCCTCAAAAAAAAATGGGCTGGCAGCATTGCCTCTCGCGAGCTGTCCCGACACAGGGAGACTGGATCCTCTACCTGGGGTGCAGGCAAGACCCCAACCTTGAAAAAATATTGCGTTCTGTAGAGGTTCTGCCTTTTTCTCCCAGCTTTTTGCAAACGATGATCGCCTTACCTGTTTCTAAAACAGTGGCGGGACAGCAAGCCTATCACATTCTGCTCCCCGCCTCTTTTGCAGACCCATCCGCAGAGGCTTCCGATACCTCTGACACCTGAGAGACCTGTCCGTAGAGGCTAGGCATTTTCTGGACGCGCGGCGACACGCTCTGTCAAAAGCGAAACCCAGGCTAGCAGCATCGCCTCTCGGGAGCTTTCCTAACACGGGGTGACCAAATCCTCTTCTTGGTGCATTGATGCACAGCCCGTTCTCAAAGCTCTACAAAGACATTGCATTCTATGGGGAGGAGGTTCTGCCTTCTTCGCGCAGGTCTTTGCCAATGATGATCCCCTCACCTGTGACAAGCGCAGAGGTGTGAAAGCAGGCTTACGACATTGTTGTCCGCTCCCTGCCTCTTTCGCGGACCCATCCGCAGAGGCTTCCGATACCTCTGATACCTGCGAGACCTGTGCATGCATGCTGGGCATTTTGCTGACAGGGTTCCCGACAGGGTGCGTCCCCTCAAAAAAACAGGCTGGCAGCATTGCCTCTCGCGAGCTGTCCCGACATAGGGCGACTGGATCCTCTACCTGGTGTAACAGGGTGCAGGCAAGACCCAAACCTTGGAAATGACATTGCATTCCGCAGAGGTTCTGCCTTCTTCGTGCGGCGCTTTGAAGATGATGATCGCCTCACCTGTAACAAATCTGAAGGCTTGCACAAGCCTGCCACATTGTTGTCCGCTCCCTGCCTCTTTCGCGGACCCATCCGCAGAGGCTTCTGATACCTCTGACACCTGCGAGACCTGTCCATACATGGTCCCGCGCTTGCTGGCCTGCCCCCCCCCCCATGGTCTTTGCCTCCTTCCCCTCCCTTGTGCATGTCTGTGGTTGGGGAGTTGGGGTGGACGCTTCCTTTTTTTGTGGGTGTGGTTGGGAGTGCCCGTGGGTCTGGTTTGGGGTGGAGAGACATGACTTGAGGTGTTCCCGTCCCTCCTGTGGGTGTGGGCGAGTGGGGGTCTCACGAATCCAGGAATTATCTAGGCCATCTGTAAGATTATATGGTACGGGCATGACCATATGATGTGTAGATATAGAGATATGGAGATGAAAAATGGAGTATCATTCCTATGCAGCCTATGCAGTGTTTCTGAGGTTGTCAGCAGGTCTTAGAAGGACACGTAAACTATTCATGGTGGAATATGAGAAGCCTTCCAAGACCCAAAGTTACCACAGCCCTTCGAATTGCGCCCCAAACTGATCCCTGTAACTGTCGGGATGCTTGGAATCTTGCACACAAAGCCAGACTCCAATAGTGACAACAGTCGCCAGACACCCCCCTTTTCCGACACGGTGCGTCCACCTGAAAAAAAAAGGATTAGGCTGGCAGCATTGCCTCTCGCGAGCTGTCCCGACACGAAGCGGTTGGATTCTCTACCTTGGTGGACAGGCAAGTCTCAAACCTCCGAAAAGATATTCCATTCATTTCGACCTTCTTCGTGCGGCGCTTTGAAGATGATGATCGCCTCACCTGTGACAAGCGCAGAGGTGTGAAAGCAGGCTTACGACATTGTTGTCCGCTCCCTGCCTCTTTCGCGGACCCATCCGCAGAGGCTTCCGATACCTCTGATACCTGCGAGACCTGTGCATGCATGCTGGGCCTTTTACTGACAGGGTTCCCGACAGGGTGCGTCCCCTCAAAAAAAACAGGCTGGCAGCATTGCCTCTCGCGAGCTGTCCCGACATAGGGCGACTGGATCCTCTACCTGGTGTAACAGGGTGCAGTCAAGACCCAAACCTTGGAAATGACATTGCATTCCGCAGAGGTTCTGCCTTCTTCGTGCGGCGCTTTGAAGATGATGATCGCCTCACCTGTGACGAAAACAAGGCTGGAAAAGAAGGCATAGCACGTTGCTGGCTTGCCTCTTTTGCAGATCCATCCGCAGAAGCTTCCGACACCTCTGAGACCTGGCACCCTCAACCCCCATAGCTCCCCAACCAGAAGGCTGATTTGGATACACTGGGCTCGTCCATTCTCTTGAATGTCTGTCTGACATGTTTCAATTGAATTAATAGTAATCAATAAGTCGGTAAGGCGTCGAATATGCCAGTTGTACCAGAATGGGGGTCTACTGGGTGCGGCTGTGGGGGTTTAAGGGTTTAATGTGTATATCAAGATTCTGCGTTGACAGATCAATTGTGTGGCACTTTCTTGTCTGGAGGTGGTCTTCTTAGCTTGAAGATGTGACTATTGCCAAGAATCCGTACTTGGCAATAGACCGAAGCCGGGGCGCCCTCGCGCGAATATTGCAAATCTGCAGCACGCGAGGCTGGCAAGATTGCCTCTCGTGAGCTCCCTCGGCACGGGGTGACCGGATCTTCTACCTGGTGTAACAAAAGGCAAGTCTCAAACTTTAGAAAAGATATTGCATTCCGTAGAGGTTCTGCCTTCTTCGTGCGGCGCTTTGAAGATGATGATCTCCTTGCCTGTAACAAATTTGTAGGCTTGCACAAGCCTGCCACATTGTTGTCCGCTCCCTGCCTCTTTCGCGGACCCATCCGCAGAGGCTTCTGATACCTCTGACACCTGCGACACCTGTGCATTTGTACTGTATTGTGCTTTGGTGGGTATTTGGCGCCGCCGCTTTTTTCTGAATCATGCAACAGATTCATTGAACTTGCAGCGTTGCCTCTTGTGACACTTGTGAGCTCTCCCGGCGTGGGGTGGCTGGATCTTCTACCTGGCGCGTGGCAAGATCTCGTGTCAACCTCTGCCCCAGCAACCTTAAACCACAGCTCAGCACATCTCAGCAATCGTTTTGTTGTTTTCTTCAAATCGGTCTCGCCATCAGTGCCGGCTCGGGAAGTACCTTGCCTCCTGGGGAGGGCTTGAGCCAAAGATTCTACAGTACCTGACATGGCAAGCAGCTCGGAAGGGTTGGGTTCATGAGCTTTACGCTTTAGCATTTAGCACCTCCCCCCCCCCTCCCCCCACGTCGAGCTGCAAAACGATGCGCTTTGTGTGAAACTTCGAACCGGAATTACATATTCCACAACTTCAGGAAAAACAAATGACAGAGTCAAAGTGAAAACGTTGAGCCAACATCAGTGTGAGCTGAATACAGTGATCATGAAGTTGAAATAGTGGCAAAAGCCAGCTATCGGCATATCGGCCCTCAGTTTAGGTG